CCTCATTTTACCCACCTCGGAAGGATGGAAGGCTGAGTCAACCTTGAGCTGGTGAGATCTGAACAGCCGAACTGCAGTCAGCTGAAGTAGCCTGCAGTGCTGCATTTAACCACTGCGCCACCTTGGCTCTGTAAAAAAATGTGTTGCTTCTTGTCCTTGAGTCACATTTTATAGCCAAAAGGCTATAAAGCTAAAAATGACTAGACAAGTAAAAATTTGGAGGAATGATGTAAATGAAAAAGAAAAGAAAAAAAAATAGAAAAAAGAAGGGAGAATATTAAATATTACATGTCACTTCCTCCTCAGAAAAGATTCCCCCCCCCCTCGGGGTTCTTTTTTGGGCTCATATTGAAATATGATGAAAATTATATCTAACCGTTACCATTTTGAAGCCTTACATATGCACTCAGTTTAGTTTAAATTAAATTAAATTTCTGAATGAAACCACCACACTATTACATGCCCAAGAAAGACATGCAATTTCTTCTTTTTTTCTAAAATAATTGTTTTATTTCAATTCAGAGAGGGAGAAAGATCGGAATTACAACTTCAAGGTATTGGAAATGCTACAAAAGACTTAAAAGATCTGATCATTAGGATGATCGGTTGGCACTTGAATGGAAATATGCATTGTAAGGTGTTTAAAATGTCCTCTGATTGCAAAGAAGTTGATGCTTTTATTTGTGACTGATAAGGGGGAAGACTCTATGGTTCTCCAGCAGTGTTAGACTCAGACTCCCATTGTCCACAGCCAACATGGTAGGAAGTTTTAGTCCAATAATAGGACCACCCTTTCAGCTTTCTCAGAAGCATTCATCCAGATCCCCAACACTGACCATTAAACATTCCAGTTGCATATAGATAGTGAAATACAATCAAAAGGACAGCCTGAAATGATAAAATGCAGATCTACGCTGAGATGCAGGCCTGTATTCCTATTACTCAGCATAGCAACAGTGAAAATGAGGGAGAAGTGTTAACAGAGGACAAGTCCGGGATATCTTTGGGATTTAACAATTCTATACAACTTTTCCCAGAAGGATTAAGACTTTCAAAAGTAAATCCTTTGTGCGGTCTTTGTCATGGCTAATGTTTTAAAACAAAGCTTCATATAAGTGGTTTATTGAAGCGGAATTGACATTTATTAGCAAACCTACTCTAAAAGGCTGAATTCTCTTGGTATAATTTCTTTGCATAATCTAGGCCACCATGGAGAGTATCAATATGAGTAAGGAGAAGGGGGGAAATTCTTTAAAATTGATCAATTTTTTCACTTGCCAATTGTAAAAAATAGCTTGTGTTTTCCAGATAACAACTTTTAGAACTCATTTGCCTTTTGGAGTTTTATTTCTATTAGAAAATGTCCATTAAGATCTTAATTTTTCTTAATATGTGGGGTCCTGATATTCTTCACACTCACCTCATTCTCCTTTATGACTACAGGGGAATTTGAATTATTCTTAATTATTTTTTAACACAACCTAAGAATTGTGGGATTTGGTGTGTTTTTTTTTTTTTAATGTCCTTTCAGGCAACTTGTTTATGCATATAAAGAAAAGTATTTGTGGCTTTCTAGACTGAAAGAACAGTATACAAAGAATTATCATGAGCATCCAATGAAATCAACTTGGCCATTCAAGGAAAGAAAAATGTTTGTCAATGTAATTCACAGATAGATGTTTGTGAATATAATATACCTTTCTTTTCCAAGTGTTTGTACTCCTGCACAATGCAAGAGGCAAAAACAAAAACAAAAAACAAGGGAAGGGAAGGGTAAAAAACACCAACATTGGCTACAGAATGAACTCATAGTAAACAATAAAAGGCAACGTGCAATAGTGCAATTTCTCTTTTGCTGCTTCAAGAAGGCAAGTCTTTTAATTTATACAAGTCCATGGATTGGTTTTGGCCTCAAAGTATTCTTCATCTCAGTTGCGCCTTTGCCGTGGATTGGTGCTTCTCCCAGATTTGGGAGCAGAATCACTTTGCCCAGGTTCATTTCTGCCTTTGGCAGGATGACGGAGCTTCTGGTCCCAGCGCTGTAAGATTAAAAAGAAAAGGTGAGACTGCCACAAGGGCAGTTCAATTTTCTTCCTAAAGACGTGATTCGGTCATCTTTTAATAAAAAGCGATTAGCCATTTATACCAGAATTATATTTCTATAATATACAATTATGTGCAACGATAGATAAGCCATCATTGGATCTTTCACTTTATTTGTAGTTTAAGGGATTGATATAAAAAATTCAATTTAAGCCACATTCTGGTTTACATAATTCTAAGAATCTGTTGTGATGCATATCTATCATCTATCTATCTATCTATCTATCTATCTATCTATCTATCTATCTATCTATCTATCTATCTATCTATCTATCTATCTATCTATNATGCAGCCTTAGTGAATGGTTTGACAATGGTGAGGGAATTATTTGTTTAGCAGAGCGATGGCGTTCTGGAAAAAACTGTTCTTGTGTCTAGTTGTCTTGGTGTGCAGTGCTCTATAGCATCGTTTTGAGGGTAGGGGTTGAAACAATTTATGTCCAGGATATGCAATTTATCTGCATGTGTGTTTTGCTTGTAAAGATGTCAGAAAACTAGAGTTGGGGAAATGGGGTTTCAAATGGTGTTATAGAGAGGCCTCTGTATCATTATTACGTCCTGAATTTGAGGGAAGTCTATTTCCCCAAGGGATGACTTAGAGATGACTTCAACAATTTTAGCAGGGAAAAGTGACTACATAATTTCTCAGCTCATTCGTTCAATATATTTCACACAGCTGGGCAAACACTCACAATATGAAACAGGAATAAGGAGAACCAATACTAATTGATTTTCTTCTTCTGTGGGATATTGAAATGATGGCCATTCTCTACCCACCCCTCTTCCAGCCCATGGCCTTTGACATCTGAAGCCTAAAGGTGATTGTTTGACTTTCTTCCCTATTCATCCTTAGGAGTTCAGCTTGGTGAGAGCAAAGGACTTTTTGGGGAGGATTCTTGGGATTGAAAACAGTGCCAATGTGGAAAAGATCTTAATTCTGTTTACTGCATGGCCTGGGGAAACCAGCCATTTCAATTGAGGTGAGATATAAACGTGAATAATACATTTCCTTAATCCTTTTGTATAATATGCTTACATTAACATGGTTTACCTTGACAAGGATTTTTCTCAGTTAGACTAATGGTGTACCCAACGTGCTAAATTCAAATGAAGTTTGCTACTCTGTGGCTCACTGTTTTGTCTAAATCCAGTCTTTGAATTGCTCTTCATGCTCAATTATTCTTTTGAATGACCTTCATTGTCCTTTGACTGAAGAGAAGAAAGTGAGGCTGAGAACGAATCATACTGCTGAAGCTTCCAACTGAGATCATTCTGGGAAGAAAATCAGCTCATTCAAACTCATAATCCTGATCGGTATATAACTGTTAGATTGTTGAACAACATTGCCCCCCTCCCCTCTAGTATTGGGAGAATACAGAGGTTTCATCAGAGGTGGTATTCAGCAGGTTCTGGAGAACATGTAGTGGAAATCTTGAGTACTTCAGAGAACCGGTAAATACCACCTCTGACTGGCCCCACCCCATCTATTCTCTGCCTCCCAAGTCCCAGCTGATGGGGAGGAAATGGGGATTTTGCAGTAACTTTCCCCTGTCACCCCCACCAAGTAATTTTTTTTGAAATTCACCACTGGGTTTCATGTTTGGTTCACCGACAAATGTGTGCTCGACAAAAGCGCGCCAATGAAGCCATGGCGAGAAAACCGTGAGTTTGAAATTGCGCTGACGAATGAGCGCAGAAGCGTGCTGACAATAGCACGCCGACAGAAGTGCGCTCTAAACCTAACCCTAAACCTAACCCTTAACCTAACCCTGAACCTAACCCTAACGCTAACCCTAACCCTGAACCTAACCCTAACCCTGAACCTAACCCTAACCCTAACTCTAACCCTAACCCTAAGCCTAAGCCTAAGCCTAAGCCTAAGCCTAAGCCTAAGCCTAAGCCTAAGCCTAAGCCTAAGCCTAAGCCTAAGCCTTACCCTTACCCTTACCCTTACCCTTACCCTTACCCTAACTCTTACCTTAACCGTAATTGCACTTCTGTTGGTCTCTTTTGTCGGCCCGCCTTTGTGGGCGCGCTGTCAACATCGCGGTTTTATCGCCACGATTTTATCGGCACGCTGTCGGGCATGCATTTGTCGGGTCACGTCATGTTTCTGTAGGTATCCCTGTTCTGACAACTCATCCAAGCACCTGATCCTATGTAACTGATGGAGCAAAAAGGATCGCCATCTGTAAAATTGATAGCAGGGGAATTGGAGTTGTATGTCTGGCACATAAAAGCCCAAAATCCACCTTTTGAGTGGCTGAAGTAGAAATGGAGTGGATACTGTGTACTATTCCAGAGTTCAGACAATCTGGAGCAAGAACTGAAGCTCTGAAATAGTTGCTTGAGTACAAAACCATGAAAGGAAATGATAGTCCAATACTTCTGCCAGAATTGGGGGGGGGGGTGTCTTCTTTTGGCCGGTCTCAGGGGCATTGCTTCACAATTTCAGTTTTTCCTCTTAATGGATTTTTCTCTGGCAAGAGAAAAGATGGAAGAAGAGGTAGACATGAGGGGAGGACGGACATGAAGGCAGGGTTACCAAAGGCAGCCAGCGTAACAATCTGTAAATAAAGCAGAGGTGTTGCACAATAGCTTTGTGCAGGAATAGCTTTATGGTCCAGCCTGCAGATTCAGGATAATCATGAAAGGGGAACAAATTCTGATCTAGCAAAGTTCATCACCTAATCTGCGTAGCTTTGTGAAATGCAGTTCCATTCAACACCACACATTCTTTGAGGAAGTGGCAAACTCCTATCAATGAAGTCTATTTTATTTTGCTAAAATGGTATTGCCATCAGAATCCAGATGTTAGCAACTGGGCATTGTAACCATTTGGTCCTCTTGTTGTCTTGTAACTGCACTCACTTAGGACATAGTACATATCTTCTACTACATAGGTAGTAGAAGATAATTCTAGCCGTGTCAAGGCTTGAAAGGCTTGTAGAGTCCTCGCATTCAGTGCCTATTCAAAAGAACAATAGGTCAGTGTTTTTAGAACAAATGTGCTTGAAAGGAGTAGAACATGCTCCAAATATATGTATCATCCAGATGCTGTGGCTTATGAGATAATATGTATGAGAACTTCCAAGCTTGTGGTTAATCTTTGTTATTGGAATTTATTTTCTGCACCAAAGCCTGAGGTTTTTCAGCAGATTCTGAAAACATTTGGGACTAATTGGCTATTTTATGATAAAGAGAAACAGATTGTATCAGGGGAAAGTCAAGGACATACCTCCAAAATTATTTAAAAAAAAAACAGGAGAAGGAAAAGCTTCAAATCTTACAGTGTTTGGGGTTTTCCATTTGCTGGAACAAAGAAAGATCATATCTTACAATGAATATATTGCAATTAGATGATGAGAGAGTGGGAGGACAAGGAGGAGGGGAGAGGTGGGAGAGAGGCAGAGAGGTAACTTTCTATAAAGCAAGTCAGCTATTCTGTGCTTAAATTAAAAGGTGCAAGCATGCCAAATATCACATAGAAATAGTGGCACGCATTGTTATACCTTCTAAAATTCAGAGCTATCCTGCTTCACACTGAATGTGGAAATTCACTGAACTTAAAATTAGTTTTAGGAAGTTGGTTCCTGTGCATTCCATCTGAACTTGGTATTGCAAAAATGGGAAAAAATTTGGTTCCTCCCATATATTATCTCTTCACAACAATGTGAAGCCACAGCTGCCTGTTCTTTAGCTAATGTTCACACTGAGTTCTTCCAAAGAACCGAAGATGACTTAAGGTATCAACATAGTATATATATATTTGGATAGATTATGGCCTTTTATTATTGCTTTTTAAATTTAAAATAAAATGATTTCTGTTAAACCAAGGGCTAATTTTTGCCTGCATTTGCCCCCCTCTCTTCCCAGACTTTCTTAAAAAGTAAACATGGTGGCAGGCTGTATTTCAGAACTTATATGGAAGTGTGCAATTAATCCTGATGAATTACAAAGAACAATTGTCTTGATCTTCTAGATATTCCTGAAAAAAGAAAATTTCTGATCTGGAGCTTTTAAATAGGATATTTTATGTTTAGGGTATTTTTATTGGGATGTGCAAAACTTCAAAGCTACTACTGAAATAATTACACAAAAGCTGGAAATATTTCACACATGTATAAATAAATTAAAGAAAATATTTTTTAAAGTCAGATGAAAAAGATTAAACAACTTAAAGGTACAGGTAAGACTTGTTTTATGCAAAGGAGAATGCTCAAGAAAAAAAGGTCCATTAGAAAAGAATTGTTCCACAGAAGTAATTGCATAGGTCCTAATGTTTCTTTCAATGCAGACCAAAATCAATTGTAATGGACTTTTTTTTAACACGCTACCTGAAATATAATGCAAAGATGGAAACAACAAATCCTGTTACTTTCTGTGGGAAGCCATGGGAATCACCTTGGAGAAGGCATCTAAAGCTATTAGGACAGCAGTACCGTAAACGCAGAAGCAGCCTATGCTAAGCTCAAGAAGGCCAAAAAGCCTAAAAAAGAGACTCTGACTTAATGGATCATATAATAACTAAAATACGCAAATTGTTATTAAGGTTTGATAAAAAGGATGAACAAGTTACAGCCTATATGGTGAAATGGGATGCAATCTTTGGTTATACATACTGTAAATACGGATATATGGGAGAAATGTGGGAAGGGTGTCAAACTTACCTTGTGTTGTACTTTAAGAGAGAACTTGGATACAATGGTGTACTAATGGTATATGACACCAGCCAAACCATCAGAAATGTAAAAAGGGATATCAAACCAGTGTTGAAAGTATGAAAAGAAAGAAGGATTTTTATCACGTGAGACGGATTTATGAGAAAGCAAAGAAATTTGGTGCAAAGCCATACAATGAAGCAAAAGATGTTGGAAATCAGAATCATGAAACCAGAATTATTCCTAGTCGGTTTTGTGAACATGCAATTAGAAAA